GAAATTTCTTGAAAGCTTAATATTTTTTATAAAAGTAATTTTTGAATTTTTTTCAAATAGTTAATTAAAACGCATTTGTTTCAAAAATCATCAGAAGATTATACGCTTGTTTTTATTTATTTATTTACCTTCGTGGAGGACTTTTTGATGGAGCGAACCCGCATTTGCGTTACATGGTGAGGAAGACCACGAGAACCTCCCACGGTTAGCTTGACGGCAAGGGGACTCTAACCCATGATCCGTCTACCACTGAGGATATTTCACGTCAGCACTGTGGTCGATGCAAGCCGGATGCGGAATTCGTATCGACTGGGCTTCGAACCTGGTTCGCCCCATTGGAAGGTGAACGCTCTATTCCCTGAGCTATCGCGGCTCTACAACAAATATCGTAACCAGATAACTCCCACTCCCTACTCTCAAAAATTCCATTAAGTTGTTTTAAGTAGCATCGTTGATCAACATTTAAACCTCTCGCCGAAGACTTCCCCTGTACAAAATAGTGACTGGCGCACTCTAAATCAGTCGGGATCACAAAGTACTCCAAGTTCCCATTACAAATCAATACCTCTGAGGGTGCTGGATCGGAGATTGGTCGTGCTCTGGTTCAGGTCAAAATTACTATCTGCTGATGGATGGTGTGCGAATGTGTCCTCCCTGTAAATCGGGATGTGACCTACGTATTTTTTCTCCGGATCATCCTAAGGTATGTTTCCCAGACGGTTGCCAACAGCCCATTGTGTAGCACTAGTGCTACGTAAATAAAAGTAATGTACCGAAATGACGTTGGCTAATTAAAAAGTCCGACCCTTTGCAAATGCCCGCGATATTTTTAAAGGTTGTTGTTGTTGTTCATTTACGTCGCACTGGAGCTGCACAATGGGCTATTGGCGACGGTCTGAGAAACATCCCTGAGGATGATCCGAAGACATGCCATCACAATTTTGATCCTCTGCAGAGGGGATGGCACCCCCGCTTCGGTAGCCCGATGACCTGCACGCGAAGTCGAGCACTTTACGGTAGCACAGTTTAACGAGGACCAATACCGCACACCCTCGGTCCCTACGCAGACTGATCCAAGTGGTCACCCACCCGCACACTGACCGCAGCCAGTGATGCTTGACTTCGGTGATCTGATGGGAACCGTTTCTTAACGATCAGTCCACTGCGGGACGATATTTTTATAGGAGTAGGGCTGATTGAAATAGTGTTTAGTATTTTTTAATCTACTTGATGATTTAGGCTCATTATTCTGAACTCTGGTAAACTCTGGATTTCTGACAAACTACCTGAAATCGATCAGACAGAGTAATATATTTTCTAATTAAACTCATTGTAATAAGCCTGAAAAGTGTCAGGCTGATTAGAAAATAATAAGAACTTTTCCTGTTAGCCTGGTGCATTACTAAATGATGACTAATGTTTACAAATAGCTGGATTATTTTGTTAGCCTACATAATTTATTATTATTATTTTTTTTATCAAGAACTAAGTGCTTCTTCACTAAGAATTCTTTATTTACAGTGGGATTTGAACCCTCTACCTAAACGCTTCAATGCGATTGGCAGCAGGACCATATCCTCAGACCACTGAAACATCTTGTCAACTCTTGCCTTATTTTATTTATTTATTGGTACATGTACTGTGTTCAATTATATAAGTACGACCTATAAGCATTTGTAAAGTCGAAGAGCACATAGCACAAATTAGAGAAAGATAGGAAGCTCGAGAATGCATCCAGGGATACAGAGGGATTCGAACCAGCTACCTCCACGCAACAGAGTGTTTGGTGGATGATATCTCTCGTCCAGGCTCAACTCTTGCCTCTACTTTACACTGTTGAACAGAAATAGACAGTCGGGGAATGTTCAAAAACACACATAATAGATTTTTTCAGTTAGTTAGGAATTTGACTGTTTTTCAAACTTCCAAAGGAGTACTACTTACACAAGAAGGCTTAGAACAGGTAAAACATTATTTTGCAGTTATGAAAATAATAATAATGCAGTTATCAAAGTTATTTTGCTGTTTATTATAAGCTGATATCTAAAAGAAAGTTAAGTAGCTTTCGATTATAAGTTTTTGTTGGTATACGAATGTTATAATTAAATTTGAAGAGACACTGAATATTTCGAATAAAACTTTACGAAGTATGAATGCATTTTTGTTGGTTCTATTATATATAACATATATTTTGATTCTAGTATATATTTGTTATAGTGTTTCTAGTATCTATAAAACTGTCAATTTATAAAAAAAAATTTCTTCTCAGTCAATTTTTAAAAACTTCTCAGCTAGAATGATTTGTCAGTCTTTTTTTTCCGACACACTTTATGTATATATTTAATAACATAACATTAAAATTTATAATTTAAACATGCAGCTTGACTTGAATAAGCACCAAACAAATTTTCGTATTTTATAGATTACCCAGTGTTTGATACAGTTTTCACAAATAACTGTTGGAAAGTATTGAACCTTTGCTATTCAAGAAGCTTTTGGGGTTGAAGAAAATAAGCTATAAAAGTAAAATATATAAATTATATAAGTTAATTTAATTATATAAATTTCTTTAATAATATAAATTTATTAAAAAATATAATTGCATTTAAAAATGTAATTGTATTAAATGAAAATTAATTTGAAATATAAATTAGTTTTGAGACTTGATTCAGTAAGACTAAATTCAAGTAACATATACTCTTTACTTCTGTTAATAATGCAACTTCCAATTCAAATACGAAAATGACTAGAAAGTAATTGGTGTTTCAGCTAAAAATATATGCATATTTTAAAAACCTAAATTGATTTCACCGAATTGCGATCGAAATTTAGATTCTGCATTTAAGCAAAGCAAAATCTACTTTTTCTTAAAATTGAAAGCATTAAAAAATTCCTTTACTGTTTTCAATGGTCCCAAAATAGAATGAACAAAATTTATTTCTGTGTTAAAAAATAGCTGAAAAATTAAAACTAGCATTTTTAAAAATATTTCTGTGTTCTTTCGTTTTAATATAATAGTTAGTTTTTACTCAATACGAACATGAATTAATATTAAACTCAATTATTTTTAACGAATGGAGAAAAAGTAAAATTATTTTTGTTACTAATATTTAAAAAAAAATATCTATTGAAATAGTATAAAAGAAAATATCCTATAGAAAAAGAAAAAAAAACTTACATTAATCAGTTGCATATTACTTTACCTGTACTTAATTTGTAATAAAATATTATTTTTTTTAAATGTTTACTAACTTTAATATTATAAATATTATTAAACTGAGATCACATATGCTAAGGACACCTTACATAGTACACAATTACGTGTCCCAGTTAACAACTTTTACTGATTTTCGGTAAGAATTGTGTTTTATGTAAGTGGTAGCAAAATTTGTGCTTTTCCTTTTAATTCTAAGATTTATAAATTTAGTTTAAATTTATATTGACTATCACTACAGTTAGGTAAAATAAAAATTTAAAAATATTTTATCTAACATGCATTGAACGTTACGTGGGGGATAACTAGATTAACTTAGTTTTTATAATTTTTGTATATAGTTCAATCATCTGTTATTGTATTCAACGATTTTTTTTCTTTCGTTGTCTTATGGCGTTCAATTTTAGGAGGTTAAAGGAGGTAGAGATTCCGTCGTAGTAATTGAATAGACAATCTATATCGATTTATGATTAACATATCGATGAGGTCAGAGATTTAATGTAAAGTGATCATCGTTTCGCAATAAGAGTCATTGAACAAATATCTTTTATATCATTTGGTTTTAGTAAAGGAAAATTCCATAAGAGCCCTGAAAGAGATTCCCCAGAACGACTTAAAGGCAGGTTTTAGAGATTGAAACATAGTTGGTAAAAGGGGCATTTCAGTCGAAGAAGATTACTTTCAAGGAGATGCAAGGTAGTTGGGTCAATACCAATAAACTGATACCATTTGTTTTATGCCCTCATTCCTGGTGGTTTTTGATTAGTTTAACCCACACAGGTGCGTTAAGTCTACTCTCGATTATTCTTGATTCGAATGTTGAATCTTATGCATTGTGGCTGCATCTAGACTGCTATGAAATAAAATGCACTAAGAGTTATCGATAAATGTATCAATACATTATCAATCGATTATTTAAATGTGATTGAACACGTGACTTTGGACTTGCCCTGGAATTTCTATTCACTAAACAAAATCCATCTAAGATGTTTAGTCTGCATTTTTTTTAAAACCTTTTGCACTCTAAGGGTATTTCTTATTCAAAACTGCCACGCATAAAATATCGATGAATCTAAAATGTGAAATTTTTTGCATCTTAATGTTTAGGCAGCAGGTATTGTATTGTTAGAGTAATGTGTGACGTAAATTTTAACTGGTTGTACACGTTTTTTTAACCTCTGAAAGAATTTCAAGTGCTAATAGTTTAAAATATATTTTGCACTACTAGAAAATTATTTTTACCTCCAAGAACCACCTTTCCTTACCTTAACCGTCCGGTAACTTTTTTTAAGAAATTTTCATAAACTAAATTTTAAAATATATATCAGATCTGATATTCCACAATCTGGCAAAGTATTACAATTTTATCATAGATGCTCAATTTTTTCGTTAAGACTTTTTTCAAAAGGCTTTCATTGCTGAAAGTAACGTTAATGTATGCTATTTTATAACAATATGCTATTTTATGAATATGTTGTGAATTTGTAATGATTCATGACTTAAGTTTTGTTCATCTTTAGCCAGTAAAACTTTATCCTTTAACTTTCGATGCAGTTGGAAGAATCTCTTTAAAAATTATGGTTGAAAAGAGCAGTTTTTTCTTGGCTTATAAAAATGGCATCTGGTGGCAATGTAAAAAAATCAGTTTTGTGATTTAATTTTTTAATATTTAAAAAGTTACTTTAATGTTGATCTTGCTTGGGCTCATAAAAATATGCAGAACTTGAGGATTATTCATTTTTATTTCTAGAAATACGAATCCGTATGAGTTGTCACTGCGCCCAATGATTAATCGGCAGCGTATCTGGTGCAAGCACTTATCTTGGCAGTATGCAGCTCTAGCGATATTCATGGCGATCCTAATCATTGGAATCATTACTTTACTCTTCTATGTAACAGCAAAGGGCCAGCATGACCTGTCTTATTCCAAAGCAGAGCCTGTTCGTCAAGGAGATCAAGCAATTATCTTTCCTTTTCAAGTAGACCAATACACAAAAGTGGTCCAGCCTTGTCCAAGGCATTACTTTCCTTGCAATTCATCGAGGCAGTGCCTGATTTTGGACAAGAGATGTGATGGCGTTGTTGACTGCCCAAATGCTGAAGACGAGTTGCGCTGTGCCTGTGCCTTTCGCATGCCAGAAGCGAAATTTTGTGACAAGTACCCCGACTGCTTCGATGAAAGTGATGAAAATTTTTGCTCTTATTGTCCTGAGGGTTATTTTAACTGTGGAAATGGATATTGTGTTCCAAGAGACAAAGTCTGTGATTCCGAAGTGGATTGTGAAAATTTCATGGATGAAAACTTTTGCTTCGTGTAAGTTATGTATTTAATTTTTCTAACTTCAGATATTTTTGTAGATATTGTGACATTTTTATTTCAAAATCAGTTCAATAGATTTTCTGAGATTTTGAAAACGAGACAAAGAACATCATTGAATTGGAAAAAAAAAATAATTATGAAAAAAAGAATTAAAAACTCTAATTTTTTCAAAATAATTAAAAGGAAATTTTCATGACTATTTTTTCAATATTTATTTTGTGTTTAAGTAAGTGCTTGGTCCAACAGATAGGATAGGACGGTGCGCAGTGTGTTATTCGTGAAGCGCGTTCTGACGCAGGTTCGAATCCCGGCTGGGGACAATTTTTGCCAACGAGGTGGCAGAGTGGTTAGCGTGCCTGACTGCAGCGCCGATGGTTGCGGGTTCGAATCCCGCTCAGGGCATGGATGTTTCTTTCCCTCTCTGTGTTCTATGTCCTTTTGTGTGATTGTGTGAATGTAACCCGCCCTGTAAACGGGTTTGTGGTTGTATGACGTGGGCGACGCTAGTCCACCGCCGTGGCTTAGCCATAGGTGCTCACTGGGTTACGATGAGAGAGTTGCAATTCTGGTATTTCTGAGGTCAATGGGAAATAGACCCAAGTGCCCACCATTAACCAAAGAAATAATAATAATTGTGTTTGAAATATTAAATTAAAAATGTGTGTTTCGTAAAATTTTTCAAAGTTAAAATAAGAAAACAAGATAGGTGCTAAGTGCTCAGAATCTATAAAAGTTAATTGATCAACAAATATGATATATTAAATTTTCTAAACTAATTTTTTTATTTAAACTCTAAAATAATATAATTTTGGAAAAATAAAATAAACTCTGATTTTTCAAAAAATTTGTTTCATGAGAATGAATAGTACACTGAATAAAGAGAAAGATGCTTCAATTTAGTTTTTTCTTTCATGTTTCTTTCCAATCCAATCCAATCTTTTTGAGTTACTTAGTAGAAGTTCTAGAAATCACTCAACCTTCTCAATGGGCTTTATAACTTACTGTAATATTTTTACATTTCTAAAACACCTTGTCTTTTGTGACTTTTCCATATTGAGAACTATCACAAAAAGACCAGTTTAAGAGATTTTACGTCACTGTATCTGCTGCTACAACCATAATATGATAAAAATAGGCAAATTAAATAAAAAAAATAGGCAATTCTTGGTTTTCATAAATTATCCTTCTCAAATTTTTTAAATATTCATCAACTTTTTCAGCTGACACAGTTTTAGATTCTCCATTTATTCACTACATCTGTTCTTGTAACCATAAGACTATAAAAAGAGAAAACTTACATAGATATTGTTCATAAGTTCTCAAATTTTTGAAATATTTATCAACTTTTTTAGTTGACACAATTTTAGTTTCACTTTTTACCACTGTTCTTGAAATTTCATAGTTTCATCTTGAAACTGAAACCTTCCAATTGGAAAACATTAATGCTTTATATATAATATGAAGCAATTTCTTTTTCTCTTAAAGATGTTTCACCACTTATAGGAAATTTTAATCCGAAATGAACTTTGCCTTCTTGTATGTACTACACCCGCGCAAATTTTCCAAAAAGAAGTTTTCATAAGTTGCTGCCTTGTTCGATTGTTTTGCCGATTCAACTTCGTTACTCCAGTACGAAATTATTTTCATATTTTTCATTAAAAGTACTATTTTTGATAAATCTTTAATAAATAAACATAAAGGCTATATAAAAAAAAAGGCTAGTGTTCAAAGGCACAAGAAGTTATTCTTTTCGGAGATAGCTCAGTCTTGTGACGCTTCCAATGTCATTAGTCAAGCTCCATTCATGGAATGAATGCTGCGCTTATCGGGACGAACCAGTCTGGTGATCCTGAGATGACCCCTTCCATTGTCTGTGCTTACCCTTCCTTCGACCCTCATTTAGTTTGATGTTAGGAGAAAAGATATCTTAGTATATTGCATAGGTTTCTGATTCGGGATCTGACCGGTATAAATGATACTCTGCTTTTTTTTCTTCTTGGCCTCCGACAGACGAAGTAATTTTTCATTATATTGATTGGAAGGTAATTTGGAACTGGTATAAAATGACGCATAAATGCAAAAGACGTAGCAACTGTATTCTATTGGATATGCATACTTTTTATTTTGACTGGTGTTGAACAGCCGGCCTAATTATAAGTTTACGACAATCAATGTTCAACTTCGAAGTCCTTTTTCATTTTATTCAAACTATGAAGTCTTTTAATGTTAAATATTCATTCATGTTGTATTCCTATTGTAAAACATTTTGTTTCTTAACGTTCTAAGTATCTTTTGAGCTAATAGCTTGAATTATTCGTAACTATTTTCAGTAGATAAAAATGTGTTTCACCACTTCAAGGTACCCCAGAGACCCTTTTGTTTTACAATAAACACAATTTCGAACACAATTTGATTTGGTTATCTTAAGTATTGTCAGAGATTTTTTCTTCTACCTTGAATGTGTGGCAGGAATAATCGCGGCCGTCTCATACCCTCCAACATTTGAAGCTGTAGAGAAATATTTTTTCAGTGTTAGTGATCTAAGCTGGAAATTTTAAAATGACATAGAATATTTATAAAACTTTTATTAAAACTTAAGAAATCTATTTGGTCTGGTCGGTATAACTGGGCATCTAAGACCAAAATTGGCCAATTTCTCATTCATCCTGTGTTGATGAACATCTGTAAAAACTGGTTATATAGTAGTGACACAAATGGCAAAATGGAGAGTTAAGAGAGAATTACACATTGCTATGGTAATTACAAAATTAGAGCGTGAATGATTTGGATTTTGAGCTTTTATAAATCTGTTTTAATTATATATGAGTAGTGGTAAACAAAATCCCTTAAATTCCAATTTATTTGAATGCTAATGCATTGCATTTCTATTTGCATTGATTGATTTACATTGAATTCTGCTATTTAAACCATCATTTTCTTTCAGACTAACATTTTTCTTTTCAGATTATCATCAAAAGCCGGAATTGCTACAGTAGACGGCAACTTACCTTCAAGTTCTATAAACAAGATTGAGCATTCAAGGAGTGGTTTTCTCTTAAGGAACAAAAATGGCGTCTGGTATCCTGTATGCGCCAACCCTCATGACTACATGCAAGATGCCTTGGCTTCATTTGCTTGTGTCAGTATAACAGCAAATCCACTCGCAAGTAGTAAACACCGATTTTTGAAATTCGATCAGAGGAATGCTACTGGTGACTACATTTACCATTATCTTGGAAGATTCGTCCAATGGCAAGGGTGTTTAACTGACAAGGGAATATTTGTGTCATGTGATGACGTTCGATGTGGCCTAAATCCAAAGCATTTCCTTCCTAGAAGACCTAGAGGTAGAATTGTTGGTGGTGAATTATCTGAACCAGGGGCATGGCCCTGGCATGCAGCTATTTATAAAAATGGCTCATATGCGTGTGGGGCAACTCTAATTAACGACTTCTGGTTCATTTCCGCGGCTCACTGTTTTGTCAACCATAGATATAATTACTATGAAATACAAGTCGGGATGCTTCGACGTCGATCATTTACCCCGCACCAAAAAACCTACAGAATTGAAAGGGTTAAAATTCATCCTAAATTCAACATCATTACACTGGAATATGATATTGCTCTGTTGAAAACAGCAACTGAAGTAGTGTTCGATTTCTGGGTTAGGCCTATATGTCTACCCGATCCCAAGAGGACTGAGAACTCTGGTACTTTCTGTACAGCGATTGGTTGGGGAGATACTGGGGAATTAGAAGACGATTCCGATGATCTCCAGGAAGTCCATGTGCCACTTACCAAAAACTGCAAGAAGAATCTAAATAGATGGTTATGTGCTGGTTTTGTCGAAGGTGGTCGTGACGCTTGCCAAGGTGACAGTGGGGGACCTCTCATGTGCTTAGATGAAAGTGGATTGTCTTGGTACATCGCTGGCGTTATCAGTGGTGGGACAGGGTGTGCGAGACCCGATACTCCGGGAATGTATACAAGAGTCCTGTATTTCTTAGATTGGATAGAAGAGACCCTGCATTCCTCTAATGTATCTGATGTTCCACCGCGTTCAACTTGTCCTGGATGGAACTGTGCTGTTTTAGGCGGTGGATATTGTCTTAAAAGAGACAGAGTTTGTGATGGGAGAGTAGATTGTTATGATGCTCAGGATGAAGCTAATTGTCCTCCGATTGAAGAGAGACGTTCATTTCCTTAATGGATTCCATTATTAAAAATAGCTTTTCCCATGAAATTCCATTTATGTATACGGATTCTGAAAAGGATTATTGCTTGTGGGGATCATTTACTAACATGTCGTATATTATTCTGTAAGATTTAAAACCTAAAATCTCTATCTTAGAGTTAAAATAGCTAACTCTTAATTAGTTTTTTAAATTTTAGAAATTCGTTCACAATTTCTTCTTGTTTTAAATTTTACTACAAGGATTTTTTCCTAATGTTTTAGTGAAATCAGTTATATTTAAAGTTATTTGCATATCTTTTCAAGATACATTGAGACATTTAACTGCAGTTCTAGAATTTTAGTGCATCTCTTCTAGCTATAAAAAAAAATACAAATTTCGATTTTTTTTATCATTTAAATTTGAATTAAATTCTTCGTTAAAAGATATATGTATTTTAAATCCGTTAATATTTTTTAAAATAATTGCTCTTTGTGTTAACGATATTTTAAGGATCGTCTCAGGTGGCTTATTGTCATATAAAATGATGTATGATTTACATTTTAAATATTTTACTATTTCGATATGTTATTGCTTTCTAAATATAGTCTGTAGGAATGTTTTAAAAAAGTGTATATTTTTGTTTTGTTTTTGTGAAAACATCTAACAACAAAGTTGTATAAAATTATACTTTTTTGGAGTTTGTTATATTTTTGAATGCTTAAATGGGTTTCATATCATGAAGTTTCTCAGATTTGTTAAATGAGTAAATTCCCGAACGAGTTAAGTCATTTGAGTTATAAGATATATATAAAAAGAAAAGTCATTAGGAATAATTACATCTTTTGTCAGTTTTACTAATTTTACTTGCATTACTTGTTTTAGTTGTTCGTTCTACTGCTTTGTTGTGATTTTAAAATAAATATAAAAGCTTTCTTAAAGGTTTCATTGACTATTTATGATGTCATCATGTCTGTAATTTCTTTAAAGTTTTCATTAAATATTTATACCATTATGTATAAGAACTTTCATTTACATACATAATTTTCATTCACATACATAATTTATGCCATTATGTTTGTAAGATTTCAATGCACATTTATACTATCGTGTATCCATTACAATGTTAAGTTTAGGGAAATAATTCGATTGCATTAGTTGACATTGCAAGTTTCAACTAATCAGTCACAGAAATTAGAAATTTCCTATAAAATGAAACCTAAATATAATATCTAGATTGGTAGGAAATTTATTGAGCATTTAATTGGTCCGGAAATAATCTGTCAAGTGTTATAAGAAATTAATTGTTCTATTCAATTTCATCAAATTGTGTAATAAACAAAAATGAAGCTATTCAAAACTATATAAAACTGTCTAAAACCTTTGCCTACTGTCCAAAATTAATTGGTCACAGCTAGATTTTGTAATAATTTCAATTAAGTAATCAAATAAAGAGAAATTAATATTAAACCGTATTACAAAATTAACAATTTATTTATTAAATTAGGAAATTTGAATTCTAAAAAGTATTGGATTAATATTTCTTTTTATCACTTTTATTTTAAACGGTCGAAAACTAGATATTACAGTGTAGTCCTGTGAATAATTCTAAACAGTTAAAAAAAATTCGCAAAAACTATTACGGATAAATAAATTCCTATTTTTAATTTGGGATATCAATATTGAAAAAAAAGAAATGGTTGCATAACCATGATGCAGAATTAAAAATTGTTTATTAAACTAGTAAATGTGAATTTTAAAAAATAATTTAATTAATAATAGTTCGTTTTTATTTTAAAAGGTCGAAAACTAGATATTGCAGTGTAGTTTTGTGAGCAATTCTAAACAGTTGAAAAATGGCAAAAACTATAAGTAATTAAATTCCAATTTTTAATTGAGGACATCGACATTGAAATATATTTAAAAAAAAAATTCTTTCTTGAATTTAAATAGCATGCTCTACAACAGCGGTTGCAAAGTTTTGCAAGCAATGGAACAATAAATGATTAATCTTCTTCCGGCGGAACCTTAACTTTACAGATAAAGTAAACAAAGACAATTTCGAACTATTTTTCAATTTAAGAAATTATTATAAAAACCGCTATGAGGAATGTGGAACAGTCCTAAGTTAGTTTTTATGTCCGATAGTTAAATTCAAAGTCAGGGAGTTGTAAACAGTCTATTTATAAGCTTGTTTTTAGTGTAACGTATGCTTTTAGCTAAAAATGAATAAAATAAGAATTGCGTTTTTTTTTATATATATTTATATATAAAATGAAAACTAAAAAGGAGCTGCTGTAAAAGTTGAAAATCGTGATTAGGGAAGCGTATTTTTTTTTAACAAATTTGTTTATATTTTATTTTAATTTGAAAAGTGCGATGCGAAATAATAATGAAAGTTTTCATAAGTGCACGATCTTTTCACAATTTATTCAATATTGTATTGTTAGAAAAACTATATTTATTAAAAAGTGATTAATTTCTTTTTCATCGGCATTTTCTTTAATTTCCTAAAGGCAATCGAAATGTGAAAAACAATAATGGATTCTTGATTGGATCTAACTGTAATTAAATGATGCCTGTTAAATCAAATGTCTTAAATATCGGAACCCCTTTAACTCTTCCACGGAACCCTCGAGTTCCACGGAACACCATTTAGGAACCGCTGCTGTTTACGATCGTGTTAGTTAAATTTTTAGAAAACTTCGCCCTGTAGATCAATATTTCACGTGCACCTTATACTTACGATTTGAGTGAGGTAGGTCAGTACTTTATTTACGTCGCACTAGAGCTGCACAATGGGCTATTGGCGACGGTCAGGGAAACATCCCTGAAGATTATTCGAAGACATGCCATCGCAATTTTGATCCTCTGCAGAGGGGATGGCTATGGCTACTCTACTTTGGTTGCCCGACGACCTGTGCGCGAAGTCGAGCACTTTACGGTAGAACAGTTTAACGAGGACCGATACCGTGCACCTTCGGTCCCTACTCAGGCTGATGAAAGTGGTCATCCTCCCGCTTACTGACGGCAGTCAGTAATGCTTGNAGTGAGGTAGATCAGTACTTTATTTGCACAATGGGCTATTGGCGACGGTCAGGGAAACATCCCTGAAGATTATCCGAAGACATGCCATCGCAATTTTGATCCTCTGCAGAGGGGATGGCTATGGGTACTCTACTTTGGTTGCCCGACGACCTGTGCGCGAAGTCGAGCACTTTACGGTAGAACAGTTTAACGAGGACCGATACCGTGCACCTTCGGTCCCTACGCAGGCTGATGAAAGTGGTCATCCTCCCCCTTACTGACGGCAGTCAGTAATGCTTGACTTTGGTGCTCTACTGAGAACCGTGTCTTTACGATCAGTTCACTGCGGGACACGACTTTAATGAATGGCAATTAAATTTTTGATATAAAAAATTAACCCTTAGAGGTCGTATTAAGTTTATACTTATAGTCACAATGGTACTGATAATTTTTTTTTGTTCAAACTTAATTATTATATATAATGAAGAAATAATTCTTTTTTAAGAAGGAAAAAAGAATGCTACACTTAAAAATATTACGTAAAATATTATTTCGAGTTTTATACAACTTCCACGTCTATCAACTTAAGTGAACAGTATTGTTCAATACTATAAGATCAGTATGATTCTTCTCAGTGCTGGGCGAACGCTGACATACGACCACAAAGGGTGAATGTTTAAAAAATATTTGTATGAATTTTTTATTTGCCTGCTTAAAAAAATTTTCTAAAGGAAATAAAATTCTGTTTTTTCTTCCTGTCCTGAAAAAATGATAGGGTTGAAAAGATTAGAAGATCTTGGAATTTTAAATCATAAAAATCCTCCACCCGCTGAAATTTAAAAAAAAAAAAATTAAAAGTCACCGAACAATAATATTGCATTGTATTGTTTGACATACTAAAATGTTTTAAAAATGTTTACACAAAGATTTCTTTCTATAAAAAAAATTTTAGATACGAAATTTCAAACGTCCTGTTGAGTAGGCTTCACAGGAAAATAAAAAAAACTTGAAAAGAAGCAGAAGTTTTTAAATACAAACTTTCTCATTTTTTTCCACCTATCTTTAGGGTTTCTTGCCAATAGAATGTAGTATTCTTTATTTGCTTGTTTTTTTTTTTTTTCTTCTCACATTGTCAGTGTTTGGCGATCGCCGTTAGTCATGTCACAGTCGCCATAGTAACAAGGAATCTGCTTTAGCAAATGGAGAACTTAATTTTACATTCAGAGGCGCCAAATAAAAAGAGTGAATGGCGGAATTTGGCAACGTCCCTAGAAGTTTTTTTCTCCCTGCATGTGTTTGTATATGATTTAGTCGCATTTCTTGGCTATTGTAGATAGAAAAAGGAGAAGAAATTTTGGGATATTTTTTTTTTCAAAAACATTTTCCGATTTTACTTTTGAAAAAGTATCTCTTTCTGTTTTTAGTCATTTATCTAAGATCCTCTTTGGAAAAAGAATTTTTATGCATAGTCTATCTCATTTTTCATTTGGTATTTTCCCTTTTTTATGATATTTCCCTTTTTTTGCCTACTTGACTTTCCTTTTTTTTTCTTTCTGAAGTAGTAAGTGATTAATAAATTTAGCATGAAATTTACCCATCGCTCTAACGAATAAACTATACAGGAAGATGTCTGACAATTTAGTTATTTTCCATTTATTCTATTAACGTTTATGATTTGTAAAATAAAAAAAGTAATAAATCTGAATTCGTTCCAGGGTCGATGTACAAGCGATTGTAATGAAAAGAATAAAATTAAGATCTGATTAAAATTCAACATCTTTATAAATTAATGTAAGATTCAATACTTAGTAATCAATAATGTTTTAGTTCTGCAATGGACTGATTCTAAAGACGCGGTTCCCAGAAGAACACCGAACTCGGCTACGGTCAATAAGCGGGTGGATGACCGCTTTGATCAATCTGCGTATTGACCGAGAGTGCACGGTATCGGTCCTCGTTAAAATGTTCTACCTTAAAGTACTTGACTACACCCGCAGGTCGTCGGGCTACCAAAGCAGGGGAGATATCCTTTCTGCAGAGGATCAAAATTGCAATGACATGTCTCGATGATCATCCTCAGGGACTGGTAGCGGCATAGAAAACAATATTAAATCAAATTTGCAAGCCGAAGAATGATACACTAAAGCAAAAGCTTAGCCACCACTAGAAGAAATTTTCTCAAAAAGCATGGAAAGTTTGTTAACAATTTTTTTAAAAACAATGCAATTTAATAAATAACTTAGTCTACAAATTTTGGGCATTTTAAAGGTGATTTTATTTTTATATTTTAAGTGGTATAAATTTTTTTAATGTCAATTAATTTAGATTTAATAAATTTTATTTATCATTATTTTTACTGTTATTACCTGGAATAGTTAAGATATCGTAACGATTTCTTGAAGTTTATAACTGCTGGTGGATTTGAAAAAAAATCTGCCTTTATTTCTCAATTTTAATTTTATTTTATCACTAGTAAAAAAGAGCTTGCCCAAAAATCACAAAGTTGAGAGTTGTGGAAAAATATTCAGTTTTAATTTTAAAATATTAATCAACACTTATATCAAAAAATGCTGCCGGCAAATTAAACTAAAGACGTATTATTCAAAATGAGCTAAGACATTTTAATATTGTAGAATGATTTATTCATTCATAGTTAGAATTAAAGCATAATTTTTTTTAAAAAAATTATTTTAAAAAAATGCCGCATAAAAGTTATGTGTTTCCAATAACATATTAATTGTATTGTACAAAAGCAAAAAAATTTCTAAGCAATTATGTGTTTTTTAGAAAAGTTTCAACAATACATCTCATATCTTCTTAAGTGAATAAGACACTGAATAATATTTGTTGCACAAAATTTGTTCATAGTCTATTCAAAAGGAAACTATGTATTGTAATTTAGGATATTAGAAAAAGATTACGAAAATGCATAGGTAATCTTTGTCGAAAAACGCGTTACTTTTTTGTGTTTAAATATGAATAATTATGATTAAATTGTCATTAATTTCAGAAAATATTTTATAAAAATAGGTTGTTAGTTGCTCCAAATTTAAAATGTTAAAATTTTTTTTAAAAATCACCAATTTGACGAGATTTTTTCACATACATAAGAATCATTAAAACAACAGACATGCCAAAATAATTTTAAAAAATGGTAAATAACTTAAAACTAACTTTTGCAAATATTTTACTTTTTTTGCTTGCTTTTTAAAAGATAAAGCATGCCAAGAGTGTACTAGTCCTAGTGTTTTGATTTTATTGGGCCCCTATCCCATTCATCTGGAATTTTAGAACAGTTTTGGTTGAGCAATGAGGTAAGCAGGCAATGGAGTTGCTTTTATGACCAAGAGTGTTTTAAAACGTGGTGAATAATATAACCCTACGAATTATTTAGAAATAGTGGTGGATAAAAATCTACTAAATTGAACTTATTAAACCAAGAATCACAATTGATGAACTACCACTTTAAAATATATATTTGCTGTCCGGAGCAAGTTGGCATCTCTAGCGAATAATTCTCAATTTGAGCATGTTTTTATGAGCTTAAACATTGCTGTAAAACTTATCAAAAACAAAAAAATTTACATAGCAATTATTTTTTTTATTAAGAGCTGAAACTTTTTTTTTACATTGAAATTCTGTGCTCTTTTTTATTATCAGCTTAGAAAGCCCTGGTTAGCGACAGACAAAAAAAAATTGTTTGTTTAAGAAAATAGAAAAATTAACGCCTAACAAATGTTAGAATTTAATAGATTATTGTTCAGTAAGTAAGAAAAGTTTTTTTTTTTTGCTGCTGAATTTGGGAATGTTTGATTTTTTATTGTGTATGTCACAAGGCTCGAAAATTATATTGGCTGTTAAGCACAGAGTATGATTTTCTGTCGGACATATATTTTTTTGTCCATGCATCAAAGATTTAAATATTCTGGCTGTATGTATAAAATATGGCCGGAGATGTGTATATTATCAATCAAACATTCCGCAGAATACCGATTAAGCACCCTTCAAATTTTGAAGTAAATCTCCCAGATGTCGGGTTAGTCGAATAAACGGTACCAAAAAGAGCGAAAATTTTTTATTAAAGAAAGTTTACCCTAATCGCTGTGTACACGAAAATAACTGTTTAATAAGTTTATAACAAGAATTCCACTTAAAAATAACTTGTAGGGAATGCACTTGCCGATAGTACTAAATAAAAGTGATAATATTATTTCTTATACAGTCAAACCGCGATTCCTCGACCGTGAAGGGAGAGGAGAAAAAATTCGAGATATCGAAAATTCGAATTATCGAAAATCGCATGTTATCGATGGTAGAATAAAGAAAAATGCTCTTTACATACCTTACTTACTATTCCATATTTGTTCTAAAAACATTTTTTACACTTTCATATAAAAAAAGTTTCAATTGTTGTTTGCTTTAGAGAAGTGTAAGAAAGTTTGTCTATAACACTTTCTAAGTGGACTACAGCTTTAAATGTCTCCTCTGATATATTCGGCTGCCTCTCAATAAATCTCCTTATAGTGTCCACTCCAGAAAGTGCTTGTTTGTTAGTAACATTGGGTGGTAAATCTTCGATTTCCTCATCCTCTTTAAGAAGCTTTCGTTTGAGCTATGATATCATTGTCATCCCACTGACCACACACTGTTACTGCATCATCTACGTTTACAAAGTCATGAAATTCCATGTCATCAAGCTTCATGAGTCTGGTCAAACTGTTCCAATCATTTTCGGTGTAGTTTTCAGCAGAATTAACGATATCGATTGTTCGACTACTTTTGTGATCTTTAATGAATCCAGACTTCTTGAAGCCATTCATTATCGTAGAGGAAGACACATCATTCTATGCCTTGTCAGCCATTCTTAAATTTTTTAGTTTTTGAATATTTTTTTCATTTTAGAAAAAAAATCTGCACTATTTATGAAAAAAAAATTCAAGTTATCGAGGAATTAAAAAAAAAAAATTCGTGAAATCAAGTTTTTTTTAATATAGAGCGTATAGGAAATTTGAAGGAAATTTTTTTTTCTTCGAGATATCGAAAAATTCGTGAAATCGAGGTTCAAGTTAGCGAGGTTCGACTGTATTTATAAAATATTTCTCTGTGGACTTTCTTCTTAATAGTACTAAATACTTTCTTTGTTAATAATACTTCTTATTCTTCTGACTTCTTATTCATAGTTAAAATAAAAGTGTTCTGACTTCTTATTCATAGTTAAAATAAAAGTGTTGTGGCAGTTATAATGTTGTTAATGTCACTTTTTCTTCATCAGACAGGTACATTAATTTGTTTTTAACAATATGTTATTTAAAAAGATTTTCGGGCACGTATTAGTTTCTCTCAGGCAGGCATTGTAAATATTTTGAAATTTTTCGAGTCCTAAAACATTAAATTAAGTATTCTAAAAATTTCTTCATTACTTTAAGCTGCCAAGAGCACCACTAGCTGATAACGTATCAAAGCAGATTTGTTATCATATCACAAGTTTAACAAGTGAATAAAAATTGTTATTGTAAAATCGTTTTGTTAATATATATTTGAGGGAAAATTCCCTGTTTTTATAATATCGATTTGAAGGGAAGTCCCCCGTATTCTTATTTAAGAAGTTACAAAAATGAGCATTTCATTATTTTATTATTTCACGTTTCGTGTTAACATACAAATAATCAACACTTCGTACTTAAAATTTGTGAATAAGAATTAATTTCTTAAAAATCTTCTGTCACTTATAGAAAAAATAACTCTTGTGTAAGGTATGTTAAATAAGTTTATTTCTCACAGATTTAAATTTTTGTTATGTTTTGACTTAGCGTTAGAATGTTAGGGGGAGATTTCCATGTTGTGATTTGTGGCAGAATAATTTTTTAAATTGCAAATTTAAAATCTCTTTGGCACCTTGGCGTTTGTTGTTGGTTCGACAGATCACGATACGGATTAAAATTTGAATAATTAAATTTTGAACAATGTTTTAACTAAATGAATTGATATTAATTTTGTAATGTTTAAATGTTAAAGCAAGTTGTAAGTATGACGACTAGTTCTAGTAACTGCTAGGATACGAGACATTTTTATTTATTTAAATATCTAAATTTTTGTATGTAAAAATGAAAGTTAGGCACTGTTTGTCCCCTATCTTTCACTTACCACTCATCCAACTACTAAGAAATTCGACTAACTAATAGTTTAATGTACCCCTCTATTTCAAACCGTTTGAACTGAATGATTACAAAACGGATTATCTCAAAGGTATTAGTATTACGCTTTGTTGAAATTTAAACTGCAGACAACTCTATTCCCTATATTCGCAACTAGGTAATAATATTCGCAATAATCAGATAATATTCGCAACTTCTAATACTTCATAACTTCATGTAATAAAAAATGAATATCACTGAGCATCTATTACTTGTTTAAAATAATTATTAAAAGGGCAGTTTTCAAATTTTTTTGGTTTCTTTTGGTTCTATACTTTTATTTTTGTTTTTGCAAGCACTTTTGATTATGCTTTTAAATAATTTTTGATTATCCTTTTAAAGCATGTTTCTACAAAAATTATGTATAATCAATGGAGCTAAACTTAAAATTTCTGTTCTTCATTTGTCAATTCATCTGTAAAATCTTGATCATTGATATCCTGAAATCCTGTTATTATAATTATAATCCTAGTATTATAATTCCATTATTATAATTATAATTCCATTATTATAATTATAATTCTATTATTATAATTTTGAAAATGATGGTACTGTGATGGTACAGTACCATCATTTTCAGAGTCAATGAGTACTGTGGTGAGTTGAACCTCTTTTCCCTTCTCTCTTTTGGTGAGTTGAACTTATGAAATGTTTTCTGAGGACTTTAATAATGTAAAGTCATTGGAAAATGTATCAAATATAAATAACAAATAAAAATTATACGCAAAATGAAATAACGCACTAACTGTCCGTTCAGCGAGAAAACTTATTGCGGGACTAAAATGAGGTACTCATTGTACCATATCGATTTAACTGAAATTATTATAAAATAGTACTACTATAAGTGCTGATTAGTGCTTCACTTAATAAACTTTTTTTTTTTACCCGAGGAACGCTTGGTTCGACAACTACACTGTAAAAAATATTGGTGTATAATTGCTTCTTTTTTTTGGTGTTGAGAACTAGATACATTTTTAAGTTCAGAATCGTGCAACAAATTATATAAAATTGACAATTGTCCGAAATAATTAGTGTGAATATATTGCTAAAATATGCCTGTTTTTTGAACGAAATGTTTTTGCAATGATGCCATAAATTGTTTCTAATGAGTATGAAAATATATGTTGTGAGTAAATAAGCAAACAAAATTGAATAAATAAATAAATAAAATTATAACAGTGAGAAAGTAAATGAAAAAAGTGGCAATTATACACCCAAAGATTTTTATAGTCAACTACTATGGGTTTTGCAAAATATTTTATAGAGTGATAGACAGTCAAAAACAAAAGCTTTCAGAATTTTGGTAGTTTTTGACAACATTTAAAAATTTTTCACCATGCGAGAACTAGAAAAAAGTGGCTTTTCATACTAACTTTTGAATCATTCATTTGTTGTGTGGCAAGTAAAATAACTTAAAATCAAATTTACTAAATAAAAAACCGTACATTAAAATATAAATTTCGTTCAATAAGAAGAAAATTCTCCCAGAAAGCGCAGCAGCAGTATTAATAAATAAATAAAATATGGTACTAATTTGAGTTAACGTTTCAAATCTTGGTTCTATCAGTCTTTTTTTTTTTTTTTTTTTTTTAAAGATTGCAACATTTTATTTCCATAGGACAAATGTAATGTATCATAAAAAGCACAAAAAAGAAGAAAATGAGAATTCAATTCGAATTTACTTTTCTATAATTCAGTGAATGAATGATGTCTCATTTTGCCAACATCTTTCATAAATCGGTAGATTGAAACGTTGTGTTGATATTTCAGGAATTATGGATAGAGTGTGCTGCATAGTTGATTTCGAAGGATTCAAAGTGAATAACCAGTTTCTGGTAAGAGAGTTGGGATGGATTGATATGGAAAATGCCGAAAAAGACAGCGTCCGATTCGATCTCAGAGGCTACCACAGATCCTTACAAGACATAGAAAATTGCAATTACATTACTTCAAAAGTAAGTGGCTTAACATTCAAACCGATGCGCGGCGAAGAGACCACATCCCCACAGCTACTTGATTTCAAGTTGAGAGAAATCTATGATTTCTGTAAAACTTCCAAAAAGAATGTGATTGCTTACTTAGGAGGAAAGACAGAAAGGAACATTCTGTCACATCTTGGCATACCTTGCATCAATCTTGATGCTTATTGTTGTCCCAAGTCCGATCGCCAGGTCAGTTTTTATCCGTTATATATCTATCCAGCCTGTGGTAATCACAAGTATAATGGTCACTGCCCCTTTTCTGAAGTCCAAGCATTGAGAGCATGGGTGTTAGCTCGTCTTTGAAACGTCAATAAACAAATAACATTTTGTACCGTTTAGCTATTAATTTACGATTCTGTTTAAATATTGTCTTGAATGTAAATAAAATTTTTATTATATTGGATGGTTTTTTTATGCACCTATTGCGTGTTTTTATTCATTATATTTTTAATTATGAATTCTACGTTAAATGCGATTGGTAAAATATGAATGGCTATGTTAAATGAGACCGGTAGTTACAATTCACATTTAATTAAGAAAAGTAAAGTAAAATCAAAATTACTTCTATGGAGTACATTGTAAAAACTGCGGTGTAATATCTATTCGAATTTGTGGTTGAATAACTTAAAAATTGCACGTTATTTCAAGCTATTGCCGAATCGCATGCTCGTGTACACTTCAAAGAGCGTAGTTTAAATTAAATACCGATACTTTATAAAGCTTACACATAAGTAAGCATATAATAAGTCATTATATACATAAGTAAGTATATGTTTTCAGACCTTCTTACGATCTCTTGGAACCTAACGGCCTACCAACAAGCCTATCCCAACCCACGTATTTGTGTTGTGTCAATCGAACTCACTTTCGTTTACTATGTTTTATTAACGATTTTTCTAATACAATGAATATAAAAAAAGTATCTAAGTATACATATACATTAAAATAATGCAATACTTTTGTAGTAGTTTTATTACAAGAAATTATAAATAAAATTTTATTAGTTATAATGTTAGCTTTTGCATTTTAAAAAACATTTCCGTCTATTCGGAGTGGAGCAAGAGCAAAATTTTTATTATTACAAGGTAAAATGTATTTTTTTTTTTTTTGATATATTGACAGAAACATTATTTTTAGAAATAGTAATCAAAAAATTTGCCCCTTAATTATTTTTATGACTAAGCGCGTTAAACCTAACAGTTTACTCATATATATTAAGGAAATTAAATTTTGATGGAATTTGCAAAATATTTAAAGCTCGTCATCTTGATTAAAAGTTTTAAAAGGAAGAATGTTGCCCTCTCTGGCAACTATCATTAAATCTTTAACATTTTTGGATATATTTCAATAGATTATTGAATCAATACTTTTTGAGATGTATTAGATATGCATAATTAGTTTTGAGGCACATGACTTAAAAACTATGTCGTCGGTATCTGCTTTGAATGACATTCTGTCTAGAAAAATATTGATTTCTGAACATTGTGTCGATTAATAATGCTTGTGGTTAGAGGTTTTAAGTTTGGGAGTTCACCCACCATTTCATTAATTATGGATATTTTTGAGGGAAAAAAATTCCACACGAGCTGATCAGAAAACTGATTAGCTGGAAGAAATTCCTTCAATTGATCTGTTTAAAAAGAAAGTAACTATTATGCAATATTTTAATTTAAAAGCGTCGTTGAAAAACCGACCCAATTTTATTGTTTATGCCTTCCAATGTTCAACTCCGTAGCCTTGTAATTTTGAACCCAATCCAGAAAACAAGGGAACTCTTGGATCAAGTATTGAAAGAAATTTGTCTTCGTGGAGGGCTTTTCTGTGGGACTAACTCGCATTTGCGTTACATGCAGAGGAAAACCACGATATCCACCTACGGTTAACCTGGAGGTAAGGAGACTTTACGCCATGATCCGTCTACCACTGAGCATATAATAGTACTCCACCACTGCTCAGGATATTTGTCTATGACGTATAAATGTAACAGAAAGAATTTTTTATGTTATAAATAAGAATTAATTATATTAGTACCCTTTATAAAAAAAGATTGATTCTTTCGCTGTACTGGTATTTTAGTGTAGTGATATTCACAATGCCCCAAGAAGTGGTTGTAATTTAATTTATAAACTAGGTGCGTTAACTATTCTATTTTTCTAAAAAAAATTTAGTTATAATTAGCAACCAATTTTTCCAATTTATGAGAGAATTTTATTTTTGTATTTTGAGTGGTTTAAAAATCAGGGATTTGTGGTTCATTATTCATTTAATAAATTCGATTAAAAATAATTTTGATGATCACAGTACATAAATAATATATGTATATCGAAGGCTTGTTAAACATTTCGTATTTGTTTTGTACTTATGCAATTTGAAACATTTTTTCTCCCAGTAATCAATGTAATTAGGAAAAGACAGAAAAAAAAAGAAAAAGACAATAGAAAAAAACGTTATTTGCGGAGGAAAAAAGGTTTGCAGTAATGGATATAACTTACCAGATTCAGCTACGCATTTTTAATTTTCTAATTTGTTAATCTATTCTTCAATATATTTGCCCTCAGTCTAGTGTCATTATTAACAAATTGCATGCGAGCAACTTTTCCAGAAAATGTATTACAGCTGTTATGGATTAAAATTTTTCAAAAAGTGATATTTAAGATATCATGAAAGTTGGAACAAATTTGTTACTATAGCAACAACTTAAATTTTAAAAAATATTTACAAGGAACGATTGTAGTACTGATTGATATATTGATTATACTGATACATTGATTGTACTACTGATTGATATATTGAACATATTGATACATTGATTGTAGTACTGATTGATATATTGAATATTTTGATACATTGATTGTAGTACAGATTGATATATTGAATATATTGATACCTTGATTGTAGTACTGATTGATATACTGAATATATTGATACACTGATTGTAGTACAGATTGATATATTGATGCATTGATGATAGTACTGATTGATATATTGAATATATTGATACATTGATTGTAGTACTGATTGATATATTGAATATATTGATATATTGAATGTATTGTTACCTTGATTGTAGTACATATTGATATATTGGTTCCTGTTCTGATTGATATACTGAATATATTGATACATTGATTGTAGTACAGATTGATATATTCAATCTATTGATACCTTGATTGTAGTACTGATTGATATATTGAATATATTGATACATTGATTGTAGTACTGATTGATATATTGAATCATTTATGTTTGTGGTAATCACGAATAGATAATTTCATTTGAAAACGGAGTAGTTTTGCTACCACTTTTAAGACTTTGTTACGGATTTCTGAAGCTTTATAAACTATTTAAGAGTAATTCGTTTACAATGAATTTAAAAGCACAAGTCATTCATCAAAAAATACGTAGTAGTAGTAACATATTTTCTTGATTTAAATGAGCAAAACAATCTATCGGACGAGAAGGAAAAATCAAATGTTATTTTAAATTTTTTTCTTCACAACAACCATGATGATTTAAAACTCCATTCGATTAAAACGTATGGTTGTTCTCCAACTTTTTGCAGAAATTTGCCTGTACAAAACAAATTATTACCAATTTTAGACGTTAAAATAAGTATCTCGTTAGGCTTTGTGGTTCTGATGTTATTCCTAAAGAACACAAATCAATACAAAAATAAATAAATAAAAAAATTCAAGAACGCAGGAAAAATTACGTTTGTCACTCATTCAGATAATTTTGATGAGGTGATTTTGATAAGTAAAAAATAATTTCAGGTTTTTTTATTAGTTTTTTTTTAATTTTATTCATTTTATAAATTTTTAAACATTAAATAAAGAATGATAAATTAGTTAAATTATAATTTCGAAATTTTTTTTATTCGTTTTAGGGAAGTATTTTAATTTTAGTCAAAATTTCAGTCCAATTTCGGTATACCTGAAAATTCTGTCCCCGACAGAACACGCCCAGTCATACGAGGATACAAAAGTGATTTAATTAAAAAATGTGGTAGGCAATTTACCCTGACATGTATACATCAGATGTATTGCTTAGTTCTGTCGGATACTTACAAGTTTGAATTTGTATGCACATGCTCTTTTGCTCCCTAAATTCTGTGTCTCTTTAAACTAGAGCATTACCATTGTACATTAAAAGGTAAATAGTCCATACCACCTGCTTTTATAAAGGAACTTTATGCACTACTGTGAAAAAAGGCGTGTAAATTTCTCCGACAGAAATTTCTGGTAAACCTAATAGCAATTTAAAAAGTGATCAAGTCACAATCTAGGAAAGTAGTAATAACAGTCGTATCAAATTTCATCCCCTCACTCACAGAAATAAAAATTAATAAACTAAAAGCTTAAAAAAAAAGGAATTAAACAAACACTAAAGAAAGAAAAACTGAAGGAAGAACAGTTGAACCGATGAGTCCGAAAACTAGTCATCTCCACTTTTATTCAAAATTGAGATTCTTGCATTTTTAAGTTTAGATGACGTAGATACATAGCTAGCATATAAAAAGTTATAATATTAATAGTGTTTTTAGTGCAGTAATGAAATATTAATAGTATCTTATTAATAGTATTTTATTAATAGTATAATATTAATAGTATCTGTTTGTGATCAGGGTCTCGCAATGAGACGGCACAGTTCCTATCCGAACGGTGGATGGTTGATAAGAATTCTGCTCCTGGATAGCATCGACTACAGTGCTGACACAAAATATCATCAATGGTTGACGGATAACGGGTTAGAATCCTCTTGCCGTCGAGCTAACCACGGAAAGTTTTTGTAGTTTTCTTCTCTATGCTGCACGAAAGCTGTTTAGTTCCCCGAAAAAGTTCCCCACCAAGTCTAGTTTGTCGCAATGCTAGATGAAGGAGTTCCCTTGTCTTCTGGATTGAGTTCAAAATAACAAGACCTTGGGCTTTGATATTCGTAAGCTCGAAATTGCGTCGACTGTTTAACACCGGTTACATAATAAAGGACTGAATAATCGGTACGATACAGGATTGACACGTCTTATGACATAAATAAATTCGTGATAAACTCACTTATATTAGAGTGCCTGTGGGACGTGATTGACCAAGTCGGGCCTCGTGTTTAACATATCTCGATCGCATCTTTTGTCTTGAATAAATCTTAATCAATTTACTTTCGTCAGCATTATCACATGTTTTTCGTCCTTTTAATTAAATATATCGCTCATTTTTTGAAAAAAATTCTTGTGAATATTACTCACTTAAGACAACACGATTCAAATTTTTATTTAACTTTACGAAATATATATATATATATAACTTTTCTAAAATATGAAATTCTTGAAACGCAATTTAAATTGTAGACTAAAGGTTTCAAATTAAGTTTTCAATTTGATTCTGTCCCCACGGAAGTTCTTTGC